AGCATTTAATCGGATTTTTCAGGAATCTAATAAGATTTAATTACTGTTTTCTGTATATAATTCCAAATTAAATATTTTCCATAATCTCGCATATGCGTATATGCGTATATACCTCTAAGGCAGTCGCGCTTTCTCCTTAAATATTTAATGGAAGCGTTAAAGGCGAAGGAATTTTCGAGTGAAATTATTATTTATTCAACGTACGAAAGATCGCGCTCCACCGCACTCCACCGTCACTTGTTGTTGTTCTTACCTTACTATAACAGACCTTGAAGACACTTTACTTGATTTAAATCACAAAACAAAAAAGGTTCACATACGATTGAAGTAAAACTTATTTGCAACTGTACAAGATGGCATTTGAAATAAAAATAAATACATTATATAACAATTTTGAATAATGTTTATTAGGAATATGGTACCACTCGTGATGCACACATTTATTAGTGTCAACTATTATACACATTTATATAATGATAAATTATAAATTATATATTTATAATAGCATTAAAATATGTATAGCATTTAAAAACAATTATGTAATTAAAGTCATACTTCAAATATGACGTGATCGGTTTGTCATTGTAATTAGCATTTAGAAATGAATAATTGCTGATTAATAAATTCTATAATATTTGTTCACACAATGGATTATGTTAAACAACGCCTATACAAATATTGTTTTCACAACTTGAAGAACTTCATGTAATTAAAATTAACATACATTCATTGACTGCTTGACATTTTTTTGATTATTTCGCTGGCGATACAGTCTCATTTTTTGAACAGAAACCACAAGTCCATTTTTTATTTTATTTTTAGTTTTGCTCGTCAGTAGAGTCCCTTTTTAATGTTATTTTTATTGTGATCGTCAGTAGAGTCCACTTTTCTTTAATTTTTAATTTAATCATCAGTAGAGTCTCTTTGAATTTTATTTTTATTTTGCTCGTCAGTAGAGTCTCAATTTCTTACGTTTTTAATTCATTTATTAGTAGAGTTTATTTTTCTTTTATTTTTAGTTTTGCTCGTCAGTAGAGTCTCTTTTAAAATTTATTTTTAGTATGTTCGTCAGTAGAGTCCCTTTCAGTATGTTCGTCAGTATAGTCCCTTTTTCTTTTAATTTTATTTTTCTTGTCAGTATAGTCGCTTTTTAATGTTATTTTTAGATTGTTCGTCAGTAGAGTTCCTTTTTAATTTTATTTTTATTTTGCTCGTCAGTAGAGTCCCTTTCAGTAGGCTCGTCAGTGTAGTTCCTTTATACCTTTAATTTTAATTTAATTATCAGTAGAGTCTCTTTGAATTTTATTTTTATTTTGCTTGTCAGTAGAGTCTCTTTTTAATTTTATTTTTATTTTGCTCATCAGTAGAGTACCTTTCAGTATGCTCGTCAGTATAGTCCCTTTTACCTTTAATTTTAATTTAATCATCAGTAGAGTCCCTTTGAATTTTATTTTCATTTTGCTCGTAAGTAGAGTCCCTTTTTAATTTTGTTTATATTTTGCTCGTTAGTAGAGTCCCTTTTAATTCACGAGTAATATAGAAATATTTTGTAATCAATAAACTTACGTTTACTACACAGCACAAATGTTTAATTTATTTTATTATTTTCAAGGAACAGGGTAAAATATTTTTCTCTACAAATCTAAATCAAAATTTGTTCTTGTTAAAATGTTTATTTATGTATGCCGATTTCATTCGGTACGCATACAACGACAGATCTCTATTCACATACACGACGACTAATCACAATCGACCCGTATAGAAATGATATCATGGAGAACAAATGATGAGTTTTTGCATTGGCATTCGACTCGGCCGTAACGCACTTTCGTAGCATTTGTACGTATTTACACCCTTGTCGCGTCTAAAAAAGTTTTACCGCAAAATCATATTTATGTAATTGAATTCATTATTATCTTATTAAATTAAAACTAAGTCAACCCACCAATCCTTTATCTTTTGTTTCTCTCCATAATCTGATTAGACGACGGCGACGTTTCGTCGATCACTTTTAAATCGGTTTTCGAAATAAGATTATTCAAGAATCGAAACGAAACGAGGTTTTGTGTTCTGCATAATTAATTGCTTTTTAACTGGCCCGATCTCCACCGGAGCTCCACCAGGTCTCCACCGCCAGGATTACTTGGCCGATTAAAACAAATTTGAATTGTAAATATATCGATTGCATAGAAAGAGAGATATTGGAATAATAAATGAGGTGGCGGGATTGGTAATTTTAAAATGGTAATTGGGTTGGAGGTAAAAAATAATTAGGTTGAGTGTAAGATTATTTTTAACTTCCCTTAGGGTAGTGGTTATAGTAATGGGCCGAAAATCGAAAATGAAAATTTTTACATTTCTCGACGTTTTGAAGGTATCTGAACATTTTACTGGCATACCTCAGAAGCTAAATGGATGTCTGTGTGTTTTGTATGTCCGCATTTTTTTTACTATGTTATATTGAAAAGAGACTCCACTGACGAACAAAGTCAATATAAATATACTTCGAAGTATGAAAAAGACTCTACTGACAAGCGAATAGAAGATAGATCGTAGATAATTAGAAAATTAAAAAAAGGACTCTACTGACGAGCAAACTAATATAGAATTGAAATAGGGACTCTACTGACGAGATAAAGCTAAAATATACATAAAAGGGACTCTACTGAGGAGCAAACTAATATAGAATTAAAAAAGGGGACTCTACTAACGAGCAAACTAATCTAAAATTAAAAAAAGGACTCTACTGACAAGCAAGCTAACATAGAATTAAAAAAGGGACTCTACTGACGAGCAAACTAATCTAGAATTTAAAAAATGACTCTACTGATAAGCAAACTAATATAGAATTAAAAAAGGGACTCTACTGACGAGCACACTAATATAGAATTAAAAAAGGACTCTACTGACGAGCAAAGGACAGGAAATTAATAAAAGGACTCTACAGACGAGCATCGGTCCGACCGTTTTGGTCTCATTCGATTCAGAATGGCGTGAAACGTCGAGAAAACATAAAATTAGCGATTCGGATTTTTTAATGAAAACATAAACTTCTCCTTCGGGAAGTTAATAATAAAAGTTACAGTATTTGTAATAATATGTTTGAAAACGTTTAAAATTTCTCGGTACGGGAAGTTCCAGCAATTTGCCTTAAGGCACGATGCCATACACCACTAGTTTACACTAACGGTCTGTTTTCTCTTTGTTATCCACACGCACATAAATTTATCGCCCGCGCTCAGGACAATGAACAGAAAATAAAGTAAAAACGACAACCCTCCACATTCATACAAAAACTCTTTCCATCCTCCACCGCCAATGCGGCTATCGAGTCGCGATAAAATTTTATGACCTCGACATGGAGCTTTGTCCGCCGCCGTGGCGATCGGTACATTATTTCAGTTTGTGGCACCACCGAGGGATGAGTATGAGACCACCAGGGCGGTGGAGGGTATGTACATGATGGTGCTGACTGATGTACAGACCGACACGGTTGGCTTGTTACGGATATGTGTTTGGGATAACCGCCAGTGGCGGTTTGCGGCTAAGGGGATAGAAAATTATGAAAAATTAAGGTCATACTAGAAACTAAATTCTGGTGATTATTTTTGAAATACGTTTAAAGAAGTCAATTTTTTTAGAAATGTTTCTGCTTCGCCTATAAACGACCTGTGTGTACGAGTGTCGACTATAGACACTACAGTTCAAAAACAATATACTGTCATATAAGACAGTAGTTTTTTTCATCTGCTGGATCAAAAATTATTTTTGCTTGTCAGTAGCAAACTATTACCTTCTTTATATTTTAGGTCAACATCAGTAGAGTCCCTTTTCAACATTCGAGACCAAATTTAAGTTTGCTCGTCAGTAGAGTCCCTTATTATATTTTCCAGGTCAAATTTTAGGTTTGCTTGTCAGCAGAGTTCCTTTTGATCTAGAAAATACGATGAGGGACTCTACTGACGAGCAAACTTTAATTTTGATCTAGAATGTTAAAAAGAGACTTTACTGACGAGCAAAGCTAAAAGGGGCTATACTGACAAGCAAATTTTAATATTGATCTAGAATGTTAAAAAGGTACTCTACTGACGAGCAAACGTAAAATTTTGATCTAGAATGTTTAAAAGGGACTCTACTGACGAACAAACCTAAAACTTTGATGTAGAAAATATAATAAGGGACTCTACTGACGAGCAAACATAAAATTTTGATCCACAATATTAAAAAGGGACTCTACTGACGAGCAAACTTTAATTTTGATCTAGAATGTTAAAAAGGTACTCTACTGACGAGCAAACTTGAATTTTGATCCAGAAAATAGAAAAGGGACTCTACTGACGAGCAATCCTAAAATTCTGATCTAGAAAATACAGTGAGGGACTGTACTGACAAGCAAGTTTTAATTTTGATCTAGAATGTTGAAAAGGGACTGTACTGACGAGCAAACTTTAATTTCCATCTATAATGTTAAAAAGGGACTCTACTGATTATCAAACCTAAAATTTTCATCTAGTAAATAGAAAAAGGGACTCTACTGACGAGCAAACCTAAAATTTTCATCTAGTAAATAGAAAAAGAGGCTCTACTGACGAGCAAACTTTAATTTTGATGTAGAACGTTTGGTACCTAGTACTCCACCATATACCTATATAACCCAAATTAATCTCCTATCTCCAAAATAATTATTTTGTTCTAATTAACATCAATCCCAAGTACCCCATCCTCCCCTAATCCATATCAAAGGCTATTGTGACAGCAATGCATGATGTCCGCATTGAAACAGAGCATCCGTTCAGGTGTGAAGTTAGCGATAAGAGTCAATAGATTGTCGTTACGTACGTTGTGAAAAGGATTGACGGTGGAGCAATCTCCACGGGCAAAAAGTTTTATGAAATTAATAGATGGTGGAATATATATATATATATATATATATATATATATATATATATATATATAATAGAATGTAAAGTATTCTATATTTATGAATATTTTTTTTCCAGATGCTCCTGTCTGCAACTGGGACCACGTCTCCATAGTAGGCGCCGGTCGAGGTGAAGAAGTCCTGGTAAGATGTTCCGTCCAATCCGATCCTGGAGCCAAGGCCTTTCGATGGCAATTTAATAATTCAGGTGAAACCTTACCTGTGGATCCTGCCAGGTTTACAACCAATGAAACTACGAGTACTTTGAGATACACACCTGTCAGTGACCAGGATTACGGGTCACTTAGCTGTTGGGCCATCAATGATGTCGGGAAACAGCAGAGGCCTTGTATATTTCAAGTTGTTTTTGCTGGTAAGTAGAAATAATAGTGTGTATTTGTAATTTAAAACTAGTGGTGTATGGCATTGTGCCTTAAGGTGAATTTCTGGATCTTCCCGTACCGTAATGAAATATTCGAGAAATTTTAAACGTTTTTAAATATATTACTACAAATACTGTAACGTTCATTATTTTTGCTATCTTGTTTGTTATATCTGAGATCAAATCAAATTCAAATCATAAATCTCCACAATTTATTTCCTGAAATATTAACAATCGTCATTTCATTTCGAATTCAATTTCAAAAAAAAATAGGTGCCTAATTTACACAAAATTGAAAAAGTGCTCCCGTACAGTCACAGTCTAAACGCAGTTGCAAATAATTCTGTGCGACATTTTCACTCATACTGTGCTTAGCTTGGCGGCATTTTTCTATTTCTATTTTCTAGATCAAAATTAAAGTTTGCTCGTCAGTAGAGTCCCTTTTTAATATTCCAGATGAAAATTTCATGTTTGCTTGTCAGTAGATTTCCTATTTAATATTCTGGATCAAAATTTCATGTTTGCTCTTTAGTAGAGTTTCTTATTATATTTTCTAGGTCAAATTTTAGGTTTGCTCGTCAGTAGAGTCCCTTTTAACCATTCGAGATCAAAATTTCATGTTTGCTCGTCATTAGAGTCCCTTTTTAATATCCTAGGCCAAAATTTCATGTTTGCTCTTCAATAGAGTCCCTTATTATATTTTCTACATTAAAATTCAGGTTTGCTCGTCAGTAGAGTCCCTTATTAAATTTTCTAGTTCAAAATTTAGGTTTGCTCGTCAGTAGAGTCCCTTTTTAATATCCTAGATCAAAATTTTATGTTTGCTTGTCAGTAAAGTTCCTTATTCTATTTTCTAGGTCAATTTGGAATTCGAAAATTGAAAAAGTGCTTCGACATAGTCACAGTCTAAACGCATTTGCAAATAATTCTGTGCGATAATTTCACTTATACTGTGCTTAGCTTGGCGGCAATTTTACATTTTTGTCATATTTTTTATCATCAAAAGCAATTGTTTTGTCAATACAAGCAGAAAGTTCTTTGAATAATTCAAATCGGACGCTCAGTTCACTAAAAAACTGCCATTTTTTGCACATTTAGCTCTGTATCTTCGAAATGGCGGGACCTGCCTTTGCGAAAAATTAATCACTTCATCTCACAATTATTACAAACCCAATGTTTTTTAGATCATTGAAACCCGATACTCCTTTCTCTCAAAAACTTGATTTGTATTTTCTGCACTTTTTGCTTCATATCTCCGTAACGGCTGGACCTGCCTTTGCCAAAAACTAATCAGCATATCCCTCTATCAATAGGGATCGAATATTTTTGAACCATTCAAATCGATTGATTTGTGCGCCCAAAATAGTCATCAGAAAAATTTGTATCCGCACACACACACGTTCATTAGTTTTTTTTTGTTAGGTATGCCAGTAAAATGTTCAGAAACCTTCAAAACGTCGAGAAATGCATAAATTTTCATTTTCGATTTTCGGCCCATTACTTGAACTACCCTACAGGAAGTTAATAAACTACGTGTAAGTGGCATTTTGTCACATCTTCCTCCACAACTAATCATTTACCTTGTAACACATTGTCTCCACCTTCATTGTTCTCCACTTCATTCACAAGCAAAATTTACATCTAGAATTGTCTATATATGTAATCTTACATATATATATAGTATAATTAATTTTATATCGTTTCCTTCAAAATTTTTCCTCTCTGTCTCTCCACCGTAACAACTACACTCGAGAGAGTGTTCCTATTATTTCTGCAGCAACTCATCTCGAAAGTTTCTCATTAAGGAATCACTATTCAAACGAAGGAAATTTATAGAATATTTCGAGAATATTATTTCTCAGTAAGAGATATGAGTACTACTGTACATATATTGCCTATTGGCAAGTCGCAGACGGAAATTCGTTTCGCAGACGGAAATTCGTTTGTCAATATTGAGTGAACGAGTGCGCGCGACTTCAATTTATTTTCTTGGAGATGAATATTCACAATATAAAGAAATGGGAAATGGGAAATGGAACTAGGTGTAAGTGTATGTTGACATAGGACAAAATTGAGATGTAACGAGTTTTCAAATTCTTTGTCATTTTTTTTTTTTGAAAACGGTGGAGATATGAGTACCTACTGTACATATATTGCCTATTGGCAAGTCGCAGACGGAAATTCGTTTGTCAATTTGAGTGAACGAGTGCGCGCGACTTCAATTTATTTTCTTGGAGATGAATATTCACAATATAAAGAAATGGGAAATGGAAATGGAACTAGTGTAAGTGGTATGTTGACATAGGACAAAATTGAGATGTAACGAGTTTCAAATTCTTTGTCATTTTTTTTTTGAAAACGGTGGAGAAGTGGAGGATGAAATGTTCTGGTAGATTTAATTTTTGGTTTTCAATTCACACATGTGGCGCCTTGTGTGAATGTTTCAAAGTCGAAACTTTGCGACGATAATACTTGTCGACGACGACTGCTTGTAATGAATTTTGATATATCTATATATATATATATATATATATATATACATATATATTTGAAAAGTCTTGATTTGATTTGATATAATATATTTTATTTGAGTTAAAATTCATCAGGCGTTACATCATAAAAATAGTATGAGAGTTTTTAGAAATTTATTCATTTAAAATCCATACGTTTCGGTTAGCATCTTAGCCTTCATTCAGTGGCAATCAATTTAACTAAAAATTAAAAAAAACTACATAAATAATATGTAAGAAATTTCATAGAAAACAATAATAATAATAGTAATAATGATAAAACACATTTTATGGTTTCTTACACATTTGCTCGTCAGTAGAGTCCCCTTTTTAACATTCTAGATCAAAATTTCATGTTTGCTCGTCAGTAGAGTCCCTTTTTAATATTCCAGGTCAAATTTTAGGTTTGCTCGTCAGTAGAGTCCCTTTTTAACATTCTAGATCAAAATTAAAATTTACTTGTCAGTAGAGTTTCTTATCGTATTTTTTTATTAAAATTTTGGGTTTGCTCGTCAGTAGAGTCCTTTATTATATTTTCTAGGTCAAGTTTTAGGTTTGCTCGTCAGTAGAGATTCCTTTTTAATATTTTAGATCAAATATAAATTATAATTATTATTATTATTAAATACTTGATAATATTATTTCGGTGGAGCAATTGAGCTTATATAATTTTAAAATTTGATTGTTTTTTTTTGTCAGGTCTCCCTGCAGCTCCAAAAAATTGCACCCTCTACAACCAAAGTTCTGGTTCTGCAGAAGTGGGATGTATTTCTGGTTACGATGGAGGACTTCCCCAACACTTTTTGTTGGAATTATTTGCTGGAAGATCACGATTAGCCAGGTGAGATAAAAAATATATATTTCTATTATTTATTATACCTATACATATATAAAATAAATCATTAATTCCTATTACATTCCACAAATTCCATCGAAACTACTTCAGTTTCTCATTAACGAAAAACGCAATTACAATATCATTAAATTTCCATCACGCGTGTATATATGTGCAATCGACGTTTCGACTTACAATAAAATCTGATTTATAATTCCAATTATAAATATTTCACAATTAAAACCTGTGCTGTACATATCATTAATTCAAACAAACCATCGAGAGAAAAAAACATTAATTTTTTCCCTCTCATTAATTACATACAATCATTTACAACTGACGGTGGAGCGATAAATTTACGCTTCATATAAATACGACGATATCGATAGAAATAGAATTCTATATTCTGATTTCGGTGTTTTTGTTTTGGAAATTATTTATTTTCGACTGGTGGGTGCGTCGATGAATAAATATTAAATAATAGGGCGGTAAATAAATGATTAAAATTCATTGTTCAGGGGATTTGGATACCGCCGACACTCCACCGGTTACGGGACGGTGGAGGGGTTGTGGTTCGTGTACGTTTTGCTGATCTGTAGATGATTTTGATTTTGATTTGATTTATGCATAAAATTGAAAAAAAAATATTTTTGTTTACAGGTACAACCAGACAAATCCGATGGAACCAGAATTCTTTCTGGACGGTTTGGAGCAAGAAGTTATGTTCAGGATAGTTATATATGCAGTGAATGCCAAAGGGAGGTCACAGGCTTCTATTATTGAAGGCGTGTACTTCACTGATGCAGAAAAACGCACTGGTAAATATTAATTCTAAATTCTACTTAGCACTTTTTCTCACAAAAAAATTTTACTAGTTGGTTGCTCCACCAAAACTAGTTCAAATCCATTTTCATGATATTTGTTAGAATAAAATTCTTATTTTTTTTTTCAGCCAACCAATTCGGAACCCTCTCACCCCTCCTTGGTGTTGGGGCTGGTATAGCCCTAACCTTGCTCCTGGCCACTTTAGCAGTAGTTTACAAGGTGAGAAGAAATTCCAGAAGGGCCGGATCAGGATCTGTACCCAATAATGGTTCTGCTGGTCTTAATAACGTGCACCATAATAAAACTTGGGTTCCAAGCGGAAAACCTGGCCAGGCAGTTGTCACCACTTTGACAACTGGCCAGGAGGAGGATCCTGATGTCATTCCTGCCAAACATGGTAAGAGGAAAAGATTTATGATAATATATTAGTAATAGTTAACATATACTATTGTTTTTTTTTCAGAACTCGGAGCACCCGAAGACGATACCATGTTTATAAAACCAGTTTTACCATCCGGCCCTGGAAGGCCAAATCATTGGGCCAATCCTTCTGAAATACACGACACGGTAAGTTTTATACTAACACCAACAAAAACTAACCATCTAACATCCTAAACCTGTTTTTTTTTCTTTAAAATGCTGCATTTCAGACAAACGGAACTTTGGGCCGAACTCACGTAGTTCGGCAATATGTAAGGCCAGCCTCCGGGTGCTCTGACACGTGGGACACACGACCCAAAGATTTATTATTGGGCCGGTCCTGTGCGACGAGCCCCGGAGCGGGTAGTGACCCGGATTTGAATGCCCAGGCGATCAAAGATCGCCTTATGGCCAATCGGGTTCCGGAAAGTTGTGTTTGAAAATGTAAAAAATAATAGAAATGATAGAAATAATTTATGAATATGGCCAGAATTATATGGTAGGAACAAAAATTGTGACAATGGAGGGTTCAAAGTACATTATTGGACGGTGGAGACTTAAAATGATGTTTGACGTAAATAATTAACGTGAGGGGGCGTTTATTAATTACGTGAGGGGGAGGGGGGGTTCAACAAAAATTCACAAAGTATCACGTGGAAGAACATGGGGTATAGTAAGATATCACGTGTATTTATTTTTTACCTTAATTTTTTTTTTCAGAAAAATCCAAACATTTTCGATAAAATCAAAAATTTTACAACTTTGTCTTCTTAGCGGGGAGAGGGGGGGGGTAATATTGAATATGACCACTTACCACCAAGGGGGAGGGGAGTCCAAAAATCCTTAAAATATCGATCACGTGATTAATGGGCACCCCTATGTAACCGCCTAAAAAAAGGTGATTTTTGAGAATTCATATTAAACAAACTACTTTATCAATTATTTCAAAATTTTAGGAGTATATTTATACATGTTTTAAAAATACACAGTATTTGTTTTTAAAGAAAAAAATTGAATATTTTTTAAGTTATCGTCGATCTCCAACGGCGCACCAAAAATAAGGCCCTTGCAAGTGATTTCGGCCTTCTACGTGGATGAAATTTAAAAACAAAAAATTCTCGTTAAACTAGATAATATTGTCTGTAAAATGAACTACGATAAAAAAAATCAAAAATTGACAAAATGACGGCGTTTTTTTAAAAAAAAAGTCAAATTTTACCCAAAATTTTGGTCGTTTTTGGACTGCCAAAATTCGATTTTTGATCCGATCAAGAAATCGATAGTTTATTTTGCGGAGAACTATATATAGAACATGTAAAAAAAAATTGAACGTGATCGCATCATTTGTTTTTGAGTAATCGCTGCAGCAAATTCGGAAAATGCTGTTTCGAGAAAAACGCGTTTAAAGATAAAATGATCGTTATACTATATACTATATATATACTCTTTAAATGGCTGTGACTCAAAAACCATTTAAGATATCGATTTAAAATTTTGGTATGTTATTTTTAAAGGTATAACTTATCGAAATATGGAAAAATTGAAAATTCGATTTTTTGAAAATTTCACACTAGTTGTGCCCCTTAAATCAATTATCCTATTCTAGTCAATTACAAATGTGTTCTGTACATCAAATGTGTTCATATCAAACAAAAAACAACCTCCAACATATCTTTTATAATATTTATTCTATTTAAACCGAATTAAATTCTAGTGGCATGGCCGCAAATACAATATTGACTAATAATAATAAAGGTTTAATTAAAATTCTATTTTAAATAATAATTTCATCATATCAAATGTTTAAATAATGATATATCTGCGTTTTGTATGAAGCATCGATGAATAATACTGTTTTTATTTAATTTGGGAATTACGGTGGAGTAATCGGATTACTGAGGACAAATGTGCATAATATAATTTGAATAAATATGTGTAGATATATATATATATATATATATATATATGTATGTTTGTATATATATATATATATATATATATATATAAATAAATATATATATATACAGGGTCGGATATAACTTTTGGACCGGTTCGATTTTTATTTATTTGTTTATAACCTCCAAACAAATTGTCCGATTATTTTGCAATATCCAGCAAATTTATAGCCAATTAAATTATCTACAACTTTTATTAATAACAAAATTTTCTATCTCTTATTCTTTTATCCAAAATTTACATTTAAAAAAATTGTTTTTAAATTATACAAAATTAATATATCTTACTTTATACTTTTGGACCAGCTAGATTTTTATTTATTTGTTTATAACTTCTAAACTAATTGTCCGATTGTTTTGCAATATTTAACAAATTTATAGCCAATTAAATTATCTATATCTTTTATTAACAACAAAATTTTGTATCTCTTATCCTTTTACCCAAATTTTGCAATGAAATAGGTTCTTGTTAAATTTTGGAGGTTGCATCAGTATATCTTGCTTCACACTTTTGGACCAGCTCAATTTTTATTTATTTATTTATAACTTCTAAACGAAATGTGCCACCATTTTGCGATATTCAGCAAATTTATAGCCAATTAAATTATCTACAACTTTTATTAACAACAAAAATTGGTATCTCTTGTCCTTTTATCAAAAAATTACATTTAAAAAGGTAGTTGCTAAATTTTGGAGGTTACATCATACTCATGTATTTTACTCTGTCACTCTACACTGTCAGGTATATCAAATTTTGACATAGAAATCGATACAAAAATCGATTAAATCGATGATTTATCTTCGACATTCGACTTTTATAAACTTTGTACATATCTCTAGTATAATATCAAATAACAATAAATAATAAATGTAAGTATTGAAATGTTATTAAACATAATTTTTGAAAAAAAGTATGTTACTGTAAGAAATATAAAAAAAATTATTATTATTGTTGTATAAACAAATGTTTGTTACTGGACTGAACCTTGTACATGTGAATAATATTTAACACAGTGGCGTAGGAACTAAATAAATAAATAAATTAAAAGGCCTATTCGATAATAAGCTTACTCTCCTATCTTACTTAAAAGTGTACTTGAGTTAAAGCAAAATTTATTTACTCCTGTCAGTTTTTTATATCTAAACTTATTATTTTATATCGATTATTATATCGATTGTTATATCGATATAAATTATGATATCCATACTACCATATCCCATAAGAGTTAATGTTAAAAAATAAAATATCATTAGTGTAATATTAATTGATAAAATAATATTTGTATAAAGTGTTTTAAAATGACTCTTTTCGAATTATGTATTGAAATAAAATGTATATGAACAGAATTTAATTTGGTTTGAATATTATTTTAATTTGGTTTTTTGGTTTTGTTTATTTTCAGTGAATTTTTTTTAAAAAGTGAAAAGGTGGAGAAGTGACAATAGAAATGGAGTGTTTGGTGGAGGGCTGATTTGGTGTGTGGTGGTGCCTTCGGCTGTTGGTGAGTTTTATTTTTTATATTTTATTCATCTATAATAATATATATATATATATATATATATATATATATAAAATTCTTCAATAATGGGGTATAAAAGGTTAATCCTCCTAAACGATTATTCAGATTTTCATAAATCTTCCTGAAGTTTGTCAAGGGAATTTTCTAGGATTTTTTGATTCATAGAATATAGTTAGATGTGTAGAAATAAATGGAAAAAATTACAAAAACCGTTTATCATTGATTGACATTGATATATATCTTATATATATAAAATTCATCTGTAATAGGGTATAAATATTAATTCTCCTAAACGTTTATTCGGATTTTCATAAATCTTCCTGAAGTTTGTTAAGGGAATTTTCTAGGATTTTTTGATTCATAGAAATATAGTTAGATTGTAGAAATGAATGGAAAAAATTACAAAAAGTCGCTTATAATTGTTTGACTTTGAAAATATTTTAGGCATTGTTTGACATTAAAAACAAATGAAGACTGTCATTTGCCAAACATTTCTATTCACTTATGAGTCTAGACAGTATTAGAATATATTATATTCCTGATTATGATAGAAAAAATGTAATGTCTACATTATTATAGCCGAAAAGCAGCTGAGATGTGCCAAAAGTTAAAATAATATAAGATACAGTATATGGTTTGGCAGATGCACATGCGTCTGTCAGTGATTGCACATCAACATAGCCTATATAATTCAATTTGACAGATTATTATTTTTTAACTAATGCAGTCTGTTTTGCCTTACTTTACTTAATCACAATTCAAAAAAACGTTTTTTTTTTAATGGAGCGTTTTGGGTGTGATTTTCTTTTACTGTGCTCCAATTTGCATGAAATTTTGAAATTAGGTTTATCTTACTCTCTACTGAAATAACGTCGCATATCGATAGAAGTATAATTATAGGTTACAGGTAAGTAATTAATAATATCGAAACTTTCAATTTATAGACAAGGTTACAGGAAAATGTCTACCGGGTCAGCTAGTATATATATATATATATCCTAAGAAGTTTTACTTCAGTTACAAAATCCGTGACATTTTTCCAAACTACATCTTTAATCCACAATTTCATCTCGGTGTCAGAGTGCCTCATAAAACATAGTGCCTCCGAGCTAGTTTGAGTAATCAAGAAAGATAGACCGCCATATCGTCCGCCGATATGGTGGCGGTGTCTGGTACTCAGGATTCCTTTGTATTTACGATGACACTTATATAACTTCTTCCTCCACCGTCGTCGTCGACTTCTGCATTGTAACAACTGCCGCTTCCGCAGATGACTTCCACAGATTTAAGAGGCGGTGGAGACGCCGGCAGAAATTCTATGCGACGGTGGAGGGCGGTGGTTTTATTACTAGACAAATTGACTGTTATAAATAGTACTAAAACATGGGTAACACATATAGTTTCGTATATAACACTTAGATTTTTTTTGTATTAAGCCCCATTTTTAAGCATTTTTGTGCATCTGTAAAATTTTTTAAATAATCCTAAATATTATATTACAATTTTACAATTTTAAATATTCCTCTTCAATCTCGATGGAGCATTTTCGAATTCTCGTCTTCACCAAATCCCATCAGAGAATTTTCTCCACCGACTCTGTGTAAAGTGAAGCATTTCGTCTGCATTCTGCTGATAATAGACAAGGGCTTGTGAGATTTTAGGTTTAAACGTAAACCCACAATGGGTTTCGAACAATGGGTTAAATATCCTATTTGTTTTGAGTCAACGAACCTCGGAATTGAGAAAAAATCCTTTTTGGTAAACGATTGATAGGAGGAAATAGACGGTGGAGGATAGAGGAATGAAAATGTATGTATATATATTATATATATATATATATATATATATATATATATATATATGTCCCTACTAATTAGTACAACATCTCCACGTGTATCTCTCGAAAAAAAACAGCACGTAAATTTATCAGTCCACCGTCGCCCTCCACCGTGTTGGTCGTTTCTT